TAGAATTTTACAATACATATACCTACCTATACTTACATATACTTTCCATGGCCCTTCAAATATTTTAATAATATATATTATATGTAAGCTCTCACGATATCGATCATAAATCAAAATAAACCTTTAGAGCCACGCAACAAGATATTAATGTGCAATATAATTAAATATATTTATCATCTAATTTATTAACTCTTTACTATATGTTTTGACCCAGATTGGGGTTCTTCTCAATAGAATGATTACATAACATAAAGAAATTTACATAAACAAAATACGTACATAACAAAAATGTTAGTCAGACATGCACTCCATACTCAAAAGGGGTTTTTTTATTAATAAAATACTAAATATTTTACTAATAAAATAAAAATTCATTAAACGAAAAACTAAAAATTTCGTGGTTAGAATTACTTTGCGAAACGTTTGGCTAAGCTATTTGCGTATATCTCGTCGAGCTACCCCAAATTAAAAAAAAAAAATCTTTCTACGTCAATTTTTGTTGAGAAAATGTAAATTTGGCAAATTTTAACGCACGAAATCAGGTACGCGCGAGTCGCCGAGCGGCCCGGCCTGCCCCACAATACCGCGCGGCGTCTTCCCCCACTCCGCCCCACGGCGCGCTGCCTCGTTCGCGTTCCTCAACTTTCGAATAGTTTTAAACAAACATTTTCGGCAGCAAAAATTTCGACAATTTTTTAACAGCAAATTCAAATTTTTCTTCAAATTGATACCAGAAAGAACTCTTAATCTTAAAAATTAGAGTCACAGTGATGTTTTGAAAAAAAATGGTTATCTCGGCTCCTAATAATCGGAGGGTAACTTTTTTTTTAAATTCGTAGAAAAATGTCAGCTATCGAATGTTTCACACGGCTATTTGATATGATGCATATTAACAGAATTATTCCATTTTTTTATACGAAAAAAAATACTTTTTAAAATCGTTTTAAAATAATTTAACTGCAAAAAATCGTTTTGTTACTACGTGTACGTGATAGTGCAACTCTTGAAGAAAAAAAATAACTCCTGCAAATTGCTGTGCGACTGCTCAAAGATGAAGAAATTATGTTTTCCGCAGACAAGTTTTTAGTGAACAAATAGCTTTTTGCAAAAACTAATGAACATTTAAGGCTCGTTCAGGTCTAGATTTGTTCGTCATCATGAGGGCTACATTTTACGAGAATTTCAAAACTTTGCGTTTAAATCTCGACGAACAGAGAGCGAGTGAAAAAAAGGCCTTTTCCGGTTTTTATTTTTTTTCTACTAAACTAGACTGATTTTAATGTTCCACATCTCATTTTGTAGGTATTTCGAACATTTTTCATACTGAACTTCTTTCCATACAGCTTTCATTTTATAAGCGAAAAATCTGCTTTTTGCAACTATTCGAATTTTTTTCGCATATTTCCCACACGAGTTGCGAGTCTCAAACGTATACATTTCTTTTCTGATGGCCTTCCGAACATTTCTGTCGAGAGAGATGCCTGTTTACAATTTTTCCACGAAAAAACCCTAATTCTACTGAACTAAAAGATCATTCCGGAGAGAGGAGGAAACACGAATTTAATTACTGAATCATCAGTGATTTTGTTATGCGCATGTCTCTTAAACATCAATCCGCGGTATCCATTGTTTCCGAAAGACGAAAGGACCTCTCTGATAGGAAAAACTATTAACTAACAAATCAAATCTATTACCTGATGTGTTCGAAGAGACTAAAGCCGTGTGTCATGGTGACGCTCATCTTTTGGGTCGAAAGATTCGAGAATACAAGAGTTAGCAATGCCATCAGGGCTACTCGAGACGGTCGAATCGTTGCACTTTTTTGAATTATCATGCACCAGCGAGCGAGGGCTAGAATAAGGAGAAGTCCTTTTCCTTTGTCGGATACCATACTCGAATAATCGAATCTGATGCGGGAACGTCGCTACTCACAACCATATGGGCGCCCTGCTGTAATGGACTTTCTACAATAAGCCATTAATCAGAAATCAGAAATCAGAAGCTAAAAATTGACGACTGTGATTGGTCAATTTTTAGTTTCTGACTTCTGATTTATGACTAATGGCTTATTGTAGAAGGCCCATAACCTTAACGACAGTGTCGATATCGGATGCGTTAAGAATTATGCATAAAGCGCACGATATATCTCGTTGTTTCCTTCTTTATTAATTGATAAATAACAAGGATAAATAATGCATCATGCGCTTCATGCGTAATTCGGTACGCATCCATCGTTACAATGTCGTTGCGCAGATATTTTATATGGTGAAAAAGCTGCGCAACGACACATAACGATATCGACATTGTCATTAAAAGTTACAGAATAGGGCAGCTGGTTAACAACGCGTTCGTTAACACCTTTAGAGATTAGATCCACAATGTTAAGTGAGAGCACGCTCGAAAAACGCGTCCCTGGGATCGGGGGAAAGGAAGATCCTCGTCTGTATGCATCGACCGTATGCATGCAACAAAAAGCACAATAAGATGCTAACCATGCTATTCACAAGAATAGATAGAAATTAATGTAATAAAAGTAGTGATAATCGCAGAAACGGGAACTACAAAATCATGACACGCAAGCGCAAACTCAAACGGAGGTGTATATGAAGACCCGAGCAGAAATTTTTGAAGGGCGCTGATCGGGTCCTTATCAGGATGCTCTAATGCCTGATCAGGCGCTCATCGCGACACCCAGTCCGGCCCTGATCGTAAATGTAACGTCGAGAATTAAGATTGCCTGATTAGGATTTTCCTTATCAGGACCTTATCAGGAATTTGTCAAGTTCCTTAATTGCGCCTAAAAACATAATCCCGAAAAAAATTAATAAATCCAGTTTTATTATTAAAACAAGTATTATTGATTAGCATCATTATATTCCAGAATACACACGACAAAATTATAATGAAAAAAAAAACATTTTCCCCTGTACGTAGGAATTAATTTTATGGTATCTCGAAACGGTCACCCATCCGAAAATTGTACCACACATCGCATCGCTTGACCTCTGCAATCGTACAGAAACTGCTACTTCAATGATCCACGAACATTGAATGTTAATGAATGTATAGTTGTAACATACCTGGTCAATATAATCCTAATAGAAATTTGTACAGTTTAATTGAATATCCAGTCAGTTACTATTATACTATCGAATATTAATTTTCTTAATATTTTATTTTATAATTTATATTAATAATACATAAAAATACTGCAACTGAGCAAAATTAGTTAGATAATTATTCCATCCAATAGCCTCACTTTTAATAATAAAAATTATTTAGTAGACGCGTTTTTATACGAAATAAAAGAATCTTGTAGAAAAAAAGTCGCTCTATTCTGCTAGATATTAAACTTAACTTAAAGTTAACGACTATATAAGTTAGGAAATCATATATAGGACATATATACTCTACCGTTTCCTGATCAGGCCTATATGGGGAATTCCCTACCAGGGCATAACCTACTGCTTTATGAATCAAGCTCGAGTGGAGAATTCCCTACCAGGGCATACCTTACTACTTCCTGATCAGGCCCAAGTGGAGAATTCCCGACTAAGGCATACCTTACTACTTCCTGATAAGGGCCTGATCATACATCAGGTATGCCCTAACAAATTTCTGCTCGGGGAAGAATTTGGATGCATTTGACTGGCAAAAGAAAGAATTTCACTAACTGATCAATCAAAAAATACTTCAAAAACATTTGTAGCATCAAGTGGACTGTAGCCAGAGTCTGAACACCGCTCGCTGGTCCGCCATTAATAGTCAAAACCGGAAACGTATCGTCGTGTTTGCCGTACGATTCAAATGATTACTTGCTGTTATACGTGAAAATAGAGTTGAATTGAACCTATTTTAATGATCCCAGATATAAGATAGAGTAGAATAGAATTGTACAAGCGAGCAAGAATATGCCTGACAGCAAAAGTAATTTTGGATATTCGCTATCGCTTTAATAAATAGCATAAACAATTGCTCAGTTTTTTTAGGTGCGACAATTTTTACGTGTACATTGGAAAGAGTAGAGCATTTTCCAAGTCACCACAAATTGAGCGTACTGAAAGAGAAAATAAAGACATTTTTGGGAACATATTCCATTTTAAACCCCTTTATGGAGGAATTTGTGTAACCCTCCGCTGAACAGCCAGGTATTAAACGCATTATAGAATACGCAGTTTCTGATAGGTTGAAATTTTTATTCTCTGTTCCTGTTCTTATTCTTTGTTCCAATTTCTTCATTGTTCGCAGCCTCTTATAAGGACTCTACGTGACACTTTTCTGTAGCGCCACAGAAAAGTTTAACAAAATTTAATGTTACGTGCGATTTTGTTATTATGTGCTTAATTGTGAAAATGTGTCTCATACTTATCAAAATCGTAAAAATGAACGAAAACTAAAATTATCTTGGAAATTTATAAATAAAAATGTATTTTTCACTGGTTTCAACAATTGTCAAATCGTGTGTTTTTTGCCCGAATAGAGGCTCACTTTACGTGTATTTTATGACCATTTACTAACTCAAGCGAAGAAAGGACAGTTTTCGTCCATTTATATAAATTTTAAGCGATCTGGTCATTTAAATTTATCCAAATTGTCATTATACAAATGATACGTAACATAAATTAACATTGTCATTTCTCGCTTATGACGTCATGATTCAAACATGGTCGCGGCGACTTAGGAGCCTTAACGTAACGTTAACTAAATAATTTTTTGTTCATTTAACTTTTAACTTAAGTAAATTAATTTTATAAATTAATTTTAACTTTTTTAACTTAAAATTTAGTTTAAAAAAAAACTTAATACTCAACTTTGATAACTGTTATATAACACCATACTAACAAAAATTTCTGATTGAAAATGGATGAACCAGAAAATTTTGATTATATCAAGCAGATTTTTTGATTATATCAAATAAAATTATAACAGATTCAAATAGAAAATTTTGTTCATTTTCAACAAAAATTTTAATTAATGCGACCAGACTTTTTCCACGTGTTACATTTATTTTAGCTGAAGTCGACTAGCATGTAGATGCCCAGTTTGAAGTATTATGCTATTGAAATTATTATTATGATTTTTTCCATAATTGCTTTTTGTGTGCAATAGTAGATCGCTTTGATAAAACGAGCGATTCTTTAGATGCGGCATCATGCTTTACAGTTTTCCTCGATGCGTTACTCGCTGTTAAAATCAAATAAAGTACGAATTAATAATTGTTATTAAGATTTAAATGATTTTAATAATTTGAAAATTCAACATTTTGAAAAATTAATTATCAGATATTAAAAAAATGTTCTTTTTTGTTGCCAATTACTTTGATGATATAGCTCTAAATAAAACATGAAGCTATTTAAGGGGATGCTGTAGTGACTAAATTGTCGGGACATTGCAAATCGATATAAATCTCCGAATTTACTGAACGGAATCAAAAATCCTTTTATAGAATTAAAGTAGACGCAAAATTGTGGGAGGTGCTGCAGTGGAATTTATATTTAAAAAAAGTTAAAAACATACATTTGTCAATTCATAAAATTGTCACCTGACGATCTTTCCTTAATACAAAAGTCTTATAGCTCATATGGACAAAACGACACTTCGGCACCCAACGTTTTACATACATAAACGATACTGAGTTTATGAAACTAAGATTAAAAAGAAAGATTTCTATTGATCTGCAAATTACGTGTATACGAACGATGAGCAAAGACTCAGAAAACACATATATCTGTCCTTAACTAACGTATTGCAACGTTATTTCTTGCAAAATCGAGTACCTACTGTTTAACACAGTTATTGCTTTATTTATGATTCCAATAATTGTGTTTAACAGTAGGTACTCGATTTTGCAAGAGATAACGTTGCAATACGTTAGTTAAGGACAGATATATGCGTTTGAGTGAGACAAATAAAGAAATGAATTACATTCTTGAGGCTTCCACGGGTGCTTTCTGTATAAAGGTTATGCGTTTTGCGGGTTTCTTCCGTGTCCATACAAAAAGCTTGACAGAGATCCAACTAACACAATCGCACAGAACATCAAGATCCTGGAGAAAAGCAACATTCCCAATGAAATAAAATCAACATTAAAACCTACAAATCCTCTCCCACCGAGACTATACGGACTACCGAAAGTACACAAATCAAACATCCCGCTCAGACCGATTGTTAGCGCCATACACTCCCCGACATACAACTTATCGCGCTTCCTAGCACGAATACTACAACCCCTCACTGGAAAAACCGAATCACACATAACCAACTCAATGGACTTCATACAAAAGATTCAAAAAATCCCACTACGTCCCACAGACCTGCTTGTAGAATCCCTTTTCACATAAGTCCCAATAAAAGACACATTAAACATAATAAAAGCCTCACATGAAGTCCCTCCCGACCTCATCCCGCTAATAGAGCATTTAAGCACTGCTTAACAACCACTTATTTCTCCTATAACAACCAATTTTATGAACAAACTTCAGGAGCAGCGATGGGCTCTCCTATTTCTCCCGTAATCACCAACATCTTCATGGAGCATTTTAAGAAAGAGACCCTCAAAAAAACACCCAAAAAACCAGAAGTTTGGTTCCATTATGTAGACGACACATTCGTGGTATGGAGACACGGCAGAGCCGAACTACGTAAATTCCTTGTTTTGTTCAACAAACAACATCCAAATATCCACTTCACTGTAGACATAGAGGAAAACGGAAAACTCCCTTTCCTAGATGTTCTTGTTTCTAAGAAAGCTGACGGTACTTTGGGCCATCAAGTGTACAGAAAACGAACACACACAGACAGATATCTACATGCCGTGTCGCACCACCACCCAGCACAAAAACAGTCAGCAATCAACTCACTAGTACATAGAGCTTTCACCATTTCTGATAAAGAATATCTACAGACAGAACTCAACCATCTCAAACTGGCCTTACAGAAAAACGGACACGACAAAAAAGATATAACCAAAATAATCAATAAACATGCAAACAAGACAACGGTCTCTGACACACAACCAGACGTAAGGATCCTAACCATCCTCCCATATGTCAAAGGAACAACAGATCGGATTGGCAGGATATTAAACAAACACAATATCTGAACTAGCTTCAAACCACCCAAAAAGATAGGACAAATCTTAAGAAATCCTAAAGATTAAAGACCTCCACTCAGTTCCGCAGAAGTATATAAAATACCTTGTTCCTGCGGGAAAGTATACATTGGAGAAACCGGGAGAACCTACGGATCAAAGAACACCAACGTGATGTCAGACTAAAACATACCACACTGTCGGCATTATCAGAACACAATATCGAAACAGGACATCAAATACTGTTTGACAAAACGACCACAATAGTCAACAGTACATCATACTTTTCAAGAAAGTAGAGAAAAGCCATAGAGACACAAAAACACCCTAACAATTTAAATAGAGATAATGGCTACAACATAAATAAAATATGGAAGACCATTCTCCCGGTTATTGAAGACCGACCAATTCCACCACCTCTTTCCCCTTCCACAACCCCTTCCCCCTCTCCGCTCATCCCAACCACCCCAACAAGCAGCGTAATATAAAAAGGAACGACCTGGAGGAACAGCTCAGTATCAGGCTGCCCTTCGCCCTGATGAAGTGGACTGCAAGGTTCACGAAACGTTAGCATCTCAAGAATGGATCTGGACACGGAGGAAACCCGCGAAACGCATAACCTTTATAAAGAAATGAATTAAAGATATCACTATTATTGACTTTTTTATTTGGAATTTAAAAAATATGTACTATCGACAGCGATCAAGTTCGGCCGTCACTCGAGCATCCCTTAGAAAGATATCACAATAGTACCTTCTTAATATACGTACGTTCCTCAAATTGCAGCTCCATTTTAATTACGCTACTGATACTTTCCCTTGATGATGTAAAGGCACTTATGCGACTCGTACTCTTCAAATGGTCTATCGTGCCTGCGGAACTACCACAAGGCGATTTAATCGATGAAGAAAAATATGGTAACTCAATGTTCTTGGCTATCAGCAATTTCTTAACGTACGCTTCAGCTTCTACATGACGAATTGTGAACTCCGCGATATCTTGAAGAACTAGGGCGTTTTGTTCTTGAAGCTCTCGTAATTCCACTTCTCTCTGCAGGGAAGCATCTCGAGATAAAATCGATCAAGGGCATGATTTAATAGCAGATCTTCTTCATTACCTACCTGTTGCATAAGCACAGTGTCGTCCCTTTTAGAGATATACAAATTTCGTATATCCTTCAGTACCTTACGAAGGCTCTTATTGGCTCTGGATATCTTCTCTTCTTGTTCTGCCGTTTGTTTCTCAATAGCTGATAAGTAACGTTCTTTATTATCCTTTTCTTCTTTGCTTTTTTCAATATCGTTGAGCAATTGAGTATGATCATTCTGCGTCTTCTGCCCGACAAAATTGAAATATTAATTTTCTAAATTTTATTGCTATTAATTAAATTTAATCCATTATATTCAATTTTTTATATTTTGCATGAGTTAAACATTTAATACATGCATTAATGCAATAGAAAAATATAGATTTTTTTATACTATTATATAAAAATAATATATAATTAAACAAATCAACTTAAAACAATTTTGTCGTACTCTTTACTTTTTAGATCGTTCTGTTGCTGTCATCTCTTTGTGTACAAACGCATATAGTTTTTATTTCTTACTATCCTGATAAATACCATTTTGTTCTTTTAATTACATAAATTTTTTTATAAGTACGAAAAGCTCTCCTGCCAAGTCGATATAAATTAAAAGTCGACATAAATTAACGTAATATCAACCTTAACAAAATTATCTTTTTAAAAAAAGATAAAAAAAAGGCGCCAAGTGTACATGTACCTCCCACAAAAAACTGTTACATAAACTAAAAAAAAAACCGTTACATAAATAACATAATTCAAGTGGTAATATTGTTAATTTTTTATTATAAATTACCTCTTAGTAGTAAGTATGCATGTATAAAAAAATGAAATAAAATTTTCAAATTGCGCCAATTGCAAAAAGAATATATATTTTCTTGCAACATATAACATATACTATTATATTTTGTGAACCATAACGCATGTTTATAAATTAAATTTATTTTCCTCAGACTTAAACTTAATAGTATTCACAACGTTCATAATTTACAAGACTCTATAACTCAATCGCATATCTGGAGACACTGGTAGTGTCTCGGCGCTGAGCTACGCGCAGCGACACTACCGTGGTTACTTTACGCGAGCTGGCGAGTTGCGGCAGATCGAGATTATCGGAGACTATCGGATCTCAATAAGGGCTGAACCGATCAAGTTCTAAGTGTGCTCAATCGATTGCAACCGCTCGGGATATATAATGAAAGTATTTTTATTCTTTCTCTACGTGCTCTACGAGCGGAGATATTGCGACGCAAAATGCGAATTTGAAACTTTTATTAAGAAAAAATCAAGAAACGTCATTGTCGAGTGAGGCCCGATTGAGCACATTAACAATCGGACAGGACAGGATTTCCCGATCGGACACGTACCCGATTGCACACGGACCCGATTGAGCACGGATCCGTTTGCACATAGATCCGATTGCGCACGGACCCGATTGCGCACGGACCCGATTGCGCCCCGACCCGATTGCGCACGGACCTGTTTGCACACAGACCCGATTGCGCACGACACTATTGCCCACGGATCCGTTTGCACACCGATCCGATTGTGCATGGACCCGATTGTGCACGGACCCGATTGCGCACCGACCCGATTGCGTACAGACCCGTTTGCACACGAGCAGTAGGGTGTCAGTGTAGACAGTGTCCGCTCGGAACATTTTTCCAAAAAAAATCTAACCCTAACCAAACTATTTGTTGGTGTGAAGCCCTCATTTCGCGTGGAAAGTTGTGAACTGTAGGCAATAATGTATGTAGGCAATCGAGCTGTAGGCAATAACACACGTAGGCAATCGATTTGTAGGCAAATGGTACTCTCCGTGTTCAAACGTGTCTGCACGCTATCGGGTCTGTGTGCAATCGGATCGGTGCGCAATCGAGTCCGTGCGTAATCGAATCGGTGTGCAAACGAGTCCGTGTGCAATCGGGTCATGCGCACTCGGGTCCGTGCGCAATCGAGTCAGTGTGCAAACGGGTCCGTGCGCATTCGGGTCGGTGCGAAAGGGGTGATCCCGATTGACCACGGCTCGATTGGATACCACCAATCACAGCGACCAGTACTTAGGAGCTTTGTAGTCTCAAGCGCTGTGAGTGGCTCGTGTTCAATTGAGCCGTGTCCAACTGGGTGCCACCCGGTGCGAAATCGGGTCCATGCGTAATAGGGTCCATGCGCAATGTGGTCCGTGTGCAATCGGGTCGTGCGCAATCGATTCTGTGTGCAAACGGGTACGTACGCAATTGAGTCTGTGTGCAAACGGGTCCGTGCGCAATCGGGTCCGTATCCGATTGGGTCCATGTCCGATCGGGTCTGTGCGCATTCGGGTCGGTGCGAAATCGGGTCCATGCGCAATCGGGTCCGTGCGCAATCGGGTCTGTGTCCGATCGGGTCCGTGTCCGACCGGGTCTATGTCCGATCGGGTTCGTGTTCGATCGGGAAATCCTTTCCTGTCGATTGTTAGTGTGCGCAATCGCGACGCTCCTGTCATCGTCAACGTCGTCTCCGCTACAAAGTAGTGGGTGTAATGTGTTTTGGAATTTTTGGCGTAAGAGGCAAATATGGCGCTAGCAATGCACAGTCACGTCACAGATGTGTCTGTTTTCTGTGGCTGATGATGAACTAGTGTACACTTTTGGAATTAAAGTGAAATAGTTTAGGTTAGGAAATCCGTCACATCGATGGCATAGAGAAACACGTAAATGATTTTCTGCTTCTGCATTTATACAAATTAGACTTGCTCGACACGCTTTTGCACGAAATGAACGAATCTGACAAAAAAAATGTATAACTTTACCCCGTGGACCGAGATATTAATCGTTGAAGTTGATGATTATTCAAGTTTGGAAATCCGTCACATCGATGGCATAGAAGGACATGAGAACATGTAATTTAAGCTAGAATAAGTATTTTCTGCTTCAATTACACAAATTCTCCGCTTTAAAAACACATTCTTTGTTTCAAGATTATTTTTATAGCAGAGTATTTGACTTGGTTAAATATTTGTCTGTAAAGCAGAAAATTATCTTATTGAAGGATCTTCTTATTCCAACCCAAATGATTTAAATTCCTCTTAAATGAAATTATTATATCACAATTCATTCACACAAAGACATTTTCTCTTCTACCTAAAATAGTGGTTTTATTATTCTCTTTCAAAATATTATACAGAACATTATCACAAATTCAAATAAAAATATGTTTCAAGTAAAAACACTTAGCGTGCTGAATCGGGTAAGAAAAACTATAAAAACAATTTAAAATTAGAATGATAGTCAATGAAAATAAATAATAATAGGTAATCCTATTTTAAAAGTAATAATAAAAGTAATAAAAAATTTAATCTGAACTTTACACTGAATAAGAATAAAGTTTACTATTTATTTTCAATCATAACGCATGTCTTACAAATGGAAATTTATTTTTCTTAGAATTAAACTTAACAGTATTCACAACGTTCATAATTTACACGACTCTGTAACTCAATCGCATATATACACACGCTAGATACTTTAACTCTCATGCTTTTTATTTTTCTTATTTCTCTAAATATTCATATTTTTCATTATGATTCTAATTTTTCTTATTAATATGCTTCTTATTTATGTTATTTTTCTAAATATTAGGTGTACAACTTTGCTTCCGCCGTTTCCTATAGATGGCTTTAGCGGTGAGTAATGGTCGAAATAAATAGATTACAGACGTCATACAATAAAGTTGGGCATCTGTCAACACAACCCCATAGAAACATTAGTCGATTTGTGTCTGCATCATAAAGTTATTCTCGATTGAAAGTGTCAATTTACGAGTCAAATTCTCGTCATTTGCGGGAGGTTTTAATTTTCTGTTTCAATATGAAGAAATCTGCAGCTGAGACTCATCGAATGCTCTCAAATACTTATGGTGAGGCCGCTATAAGTGAAAGAACGTGTCGTGAGTGGTTTCAACGTTTCAAGAACGGTGATTTTGATGTCGAAAACTGGCATAGCGGTGGAAGAGAGAAGGTTTTCGAAGATGCAGAATTAGAGGCATTACTTGATCAAGACTCGTGTCAGAATCAAGAAGAATCGGCACGATCATTGGGAGTGATTCAATAAGCCATTTCAAAACGCCTCAAAGCCATGGGAATGATTCAGAAGCAAGGAAATTGGGTGCCGTACGAATTGAAGCAGAAAGATGTTGAACGGCCTTTGTTTGCTTGTGAACTGATGCTTGAAAGGCAAAGACGGAAGGAATTTCTGCATCGCATTGTGACTGGGGACGAAAAATGGGTTCCTTACGATAACAAGCGCAGAAAATCATGAGGAGTTCCCGGCCAAGTCGAATATTCACGGCTCCAAGGATTTGGTGGGACCAGCTTGGCGTAGTGTACTATGAACTGTTAAAACCGATTGAAACAATCACAAGCGATCGGTATCGAACGCAATTGATGCGTTTGAGTCGGGCATTAAAAGACAAACGGCCGCAACGAGAGACACAGTAAAGTGATTTTGCAGCATGACAATGTTCGACCCCATGTTGCGAAAGTGATCAAGACATACTTGGAAACGTTGAAATGTGTAGTTCTATCCCACCCGCCGTATTCTCCAGACGTTGCTCCTTCTGACTATCACTTGTTTCGATAAGTGGTACACGGCCTGGCTGACCAGCACTTCCGGTCTTATGAAGAAATAAAAAATTGGATCGTTATACATTTACACTTCCGGTCTTATGAAGAAATAATAAATTGGATTTGTTATACAGTTATGATTCAAATTATTGTCCATTTGGATGACTAGTTTTTTCGACGCGGGATTCGTACGCTGCCCGAAAGATGGGAGAAAGTGGTGGCCAGCGATGGACAATACTTTGAATCATAAATGTATAACCAGTTTTTTACAATAATGCCTCGAATTTCGGAAAAAAAACGGCGGAAGCAAAGTTGTACACCTAATATTATATTCTTATTTCTCTTATTTTTCTAAATAATGCATTCATATTTTGCTAATATATTATTATATCGAAATCTAGCAGCGCCAAATATTTTTACATGAAAAATTTTTCTATTTAAATTTGTGATAATGTTTTGTATAATATTTTGAAAGAGAATTGCCGCTACTTTAGTTGGAAGAAATAATTTCTTTACATGAATAAATTATGACATAATAATTTCATTTCACAGAAGAATATATATCATTTAGATTGGAATAGGAAGATCCTTCAATATGTTATACATACGTATACTTAGGTTTTATCGCATAAAAATTTAAGATAGTACCATTTGGATTAAGTAATTAATAAAGATAGTACTTGGGTTTTACTTTTTATTTTTATAGTAGAATTTAACTTGATGCCACAATTGTCGATGTCAATCCTTTTATACAAATGATACATATCATAAGATTAATATTTATTATTTATTTAATTTGACATGGTATAAAGAAATGGGATTTTTAATTTTGCGCCTGTTCTTGATATCAAATCTTTTATAGGAATGATGTCATTAAAGTTTATATTAATTATATTATTTCGTATCCGAATTACATGGAATTTAACTTAGTGCTAGTTTTGTTGATATCAAATCTTTTATACGAATAATATATATCATTATAAGAATATCCTTGAAAAAAAATTAAAACTACTATTAATTGGATTGGATACTTTGTTAGTATTATAAAGAAAGGGCTGGTTCAAACTCGATTAAGCGCTGAATCGGTGATTAACTATCCATCATAAGTCAATTCTACTAAATAGCAAATACAATTAGTCAGTTCCACGGCCAATTAAGTAATTAGCGTTGGTGAAACCGGCCCAATTGATTTTTCATAAAGAGCACGCATGCTTAACGCTTTTTTTACCTTTTTTTAAAAGGGTAAGTTTGTATAATATAACTTACCAATAATAGACTCATGTTTAGCTATCAATTCTTCCCCGATCCATTCCTTAAAACGTAAAACTGTTTAACTGATCATACGAATTACGACGTCATCTACGCTCGGTTTTAGGAGTAAACTTGATAAGATCGTAACAAGGCTTACAAATATTTTTTCTCAAACGAAACAAGTAATAATTAGCGATCGTCTACTAAGTTAATTGTACGTTATCTCACATATTCCTAAATGAGTGCTCTGCAATAATTAAGTTATCCACCGTTTACAGTTTTCACTTCTTATTTAAAACGATTACCTGTGCAACTCACTTAAATTGCTGTTCAATATAATATTACCAAAAATACAAATGCGATTGCAATTCTTTCTTAGGCAAACGAGAAGATGCTTCAATAAATAATCAATCTTAAAGTATGATTCAAATTAATACTGTTGTTATACCAAACTGGTTGCTTTCAAATATAAAGTTTTTAGTAGTATAGTTAATTGAGGTAAAATCGTATACATGTAAAGGCCCGTCTACAATACACAGAGTAAGAAGTAAGAGTAAGAAATTGATCAATCACAGTCGATTATTCTTCTCACATTCGACTGTGATTGGTCAATTTCTTACTCTTACTTCTTACTCCGTGTATTGTAGACGGGCCTTTACACGTACGACTGAAAAAATTTGAAAAGCTGAAGTTGTCCCTTTTTGGGAAACGATCTCTAGATCTCGGTATCGGCTGCACCAATTTTATTCGGACTGGTCGCAATCGAAAGATATCGGTGACATATAATAAAAGTGTTTTTAGATTTTTTATTGCGGCTTTAGTTTTTGAGTAATTTTGATCTAAAGTGTATAAAAATTTAACACGAGCCGCTTGATCGATTGACGTGTGAACGTCATTGCGTATATATTCATGCCGTTTCCAATTCGCGGGACTAAAATCGCAAATTTGGTAACGGCATGAATATATACGCAATGACGTTCACACGCCAAGCGGCCTATTTTATATTTTTAAACACTTTTAATTTAAAAGTATAACTTATTAAAGTATTAAAGTAGCTATATAGTGAAACTGTCGACATATACAGTGCTAATGAAACTATAGATAAATAAATCGGTAAATAACAGCAATAAACGAGTGTCATCTACCGTCGAAAATATAAAAAGAAAATGACTTTTTGAGGCAATGACGTATCTTACATTTAATTTTGACATTTCGGATTTTGTATCCCGATATCTCCGTTCGTAGGACACGTATAGGTAAAATAAACGCTTATTGTATAATTCAGACCCAAGCTGTCGATTGAGCTCATATTCAGAACTCGATCGGTCTAGCCTTTATTAAAAAAGCGATAATTTCGGATGATCGCAACTTGCTGAGTCGCGTAAAGATACGGGTGTCTCGCGCTGCGCGCCCACTTGACGCGAAACACTACCGTATCTCTTCATGTTAAAATTTTGCACTCGACAACGTAACATAACACGCAGTGTTACATATTAATTTTCATTGGTGTTGATAGGATATGTACACGAAAATACCTGTAATTTATCAAACAATCGTTGCAGTTGCGTTTGTTTTTGCAATAGCTTCTGTCGTGCATTATGCATCTGCTCATCGAGTCTGTTTTGTTCCGTCCACTCAGATCCGTCCTGACCAACCGTGCTTATACTGTCCCTATATTTGTCGTTACATACGTTTACTACACGCAATGTGTTTTCCATGCTACGTATTTCCTGTTCTGTTCGTCTAATTGTTTCGTCCAACTTGTCGCCTTGTTCTCGCAGCATGTACCGCTCTTGAACACTTTGTATCTTTAAGTATGCGGTGCTCATCGGCGCCCCATCCATGGTAGTACCTATTGTCGCAACACTGCTGTCATATCGCACCTGCAATTGCCGTATCCTGCTTTTTCTATCAGTAATAGTAGTACGCAGCTCCGAGCACTCGTTGCCGGCGACCCTCTTCTGTATGGCGAATGCCTCTATCTGCGCTGTAATCTCTGCTGCACGCTCTTTAAACGTCTGTGAACAAAGGTGAATATATGTGTCACAGATGATCTGACTTTAGAATTTACCATTGTACAATCGATTTCAGTAGGAATACTAGACCAGTTCTAACTCTGGTCCTCTGAGGGGGACGCGGGGCGCGGGGGAATACTCGTTGGCGCGGGGAAGAAGGAGCGGGGAAGGTCCCCAAGCGGCGGCATCACTGTTTACATAAACATAGGACCCTGGTCGATGGATTATACAAACATGATGACATTCCGCTACGCATTCCGTATTTTTTTTGTCACCCGTCGCCCGCCGCCCACGCCAAAAATGCATCGGTAACAAAGGCTTGCACAGACACTTACTGCATATACTTATCATCTCTCTTTCTCTTATGTTTCGTCAACTTTTCCGCCGCGTTGTCGCTCTCGTTGTATCTTCTTCTCGCACGCAAAAATATTTCATTATACGTTTTTTATTTAATGATTTATATAAAGATAACGCTTAATACGATCGTGACCGTCTGTAACAGTACCGTTAAGCGCGAAGATGTTGACGGCGTAATACGACAGTGCTGCGATAATAAGAAAAAGGAACAAATAATTTCATACACCCAGATATATAGTTTAAATATGCGTTTATTTTTATATATAACGTAATTTGACAATACAGGGTGGACCATCTGAAGTGATCCAGTCAAATATCTCGAAAACTAGTAGGGATAGAGAAAAATGTTTCGTATGAAAAGTTTAGGGTTACAC